GATAGGGAATCATGAAGCCTACAATACGGTGAATTATAATAAGTAAGTCGGGGTGCGCAATAGACTTACCTCCACGTGGTGCGCCCTGGGCAACGTGTATTCATACGGCAAAAAAGTCTATTGACTGGCAGTTGACTTCTCACTTCAAACTATCATCACCTCACTCTATGCCATATTCGACTATTCCCATAGTACTCACCTCACCTTTCATCTACCTTTGTGTTTGTCTCTTACATCTTTGAAACACTCTTCTGTCCCCCCCCCCTCTCGAATTTTTTTTCAATTTGATGTTCCTCCTCCCCTCTGTGAAGCCTGAAGTCGGCTAAAGGTCTAATAATAGCCATCAAGACGCCTGCCATTTGATATAAATAAATAATAAGTAAGTCAACTTGAAGAGCGTTTTGAGGAAAGATGAGTGATTCATGGGTGTCACACAAGGGGAAGGCTAAATTCCTCTTGGCCTGACGAGGTGGCAAGCGAGTTAAGACTGTAAACAAGGAAAAATTGAACTCTTCAATTAGGGGAAAAAAATTGAAATTTTCTCTTGTAGTTGGACTAGAAAGACGCATTTGCCTTTAAAATGAATGAGGATAATATGTACTTCTCCCTTCTCTTAGGATCTGAATTCATAAGAAGAGAAAGTGCAAGGGATTCATTTCTTTTTTCAGTGCAAGATGTATTATTTATAAGACGTTATATTGTCCGTATAGGGGGGGGGGGGTGTGGGTTAATCTCCAGCTTCACCTCTAGGCAAAATTTAGTCACAAAAATGAGAAATAAAGACACACAATACTGAAAAGAAAGGACAAAGTGTGGAATATTTACTTTATACGCGAAAAGTTCCGCACATTTATACAAGGAGATTGTCTGTATTTAGTTGGGGGGAGGGGGGGGGAAAGTTTCTCTTTTCTGCATTTTCCGGGTGTTATTTTGCTCGCAGGAGTCGTAGAGGTGGGTAATGCATGTTTTATGATCGGAACGGAAATTAACTTTTTAGCATCAAAGTGAACACCGTTCAGGCTTCAACTGGTCATTCAGGAACCAAGGTGATCGGAGAAGCATAGTTCCTGTTTCGTTTGTGTGTGTGTGTGTGTGAGTGCATGCGATTACTCCTGTGCTTCATGCATCGGTGATCTTAAATTTTTCAAACAGATCTTAAGATTCATTAAATTTTAATTTTTTTCAGTAATCCAATTTTAAGCCATGCCTTTATGGCTTAGAAAAGATATCAAATAGAAACAGTTTCAAATGCATATTGAAGTTTCTACCAATGGGCGGAAAATTTGATAAAGCAAAGAAAGGTTTACTCAAAACAGCAAATACAATATCTTTTATATTGCTCAAATTCATTTCTGTGACCTATGCCTTTCGCTATTCTTTTCTCCGTGAGAAATGTGCAAAAAGTATTTTATTAATAAAGATTTAATTTCAGATATGCTCAGAAACATTACATCTGAGCATTTAGCTAACCGTGCGGTTTCAGATCTGGAAAAAATACTTGCAAATACAGGTCGGATAGGGCCATGGTTGATTAGGTATTCCTTTAACACGTTTGCTTTCAGCAATTTGTGCCTGGAATCATCATCTCTAACCCCTCTAAATGGCTTCAGCCGGATTACTTTTTGATTCGGTCAAGTATTAAGCCACATTGTTCAGTTCACTAAACCTATACTTCCAAGTCAGTAGAAGCTTAATCATATGATTCCTGAATGAATGATTTTGGTCGATCAATAAATTTATAAAAGGTTCGTCAAATAGTATACTTTACTGAAAACGTCCCTTGAGGTAAGTAATTTTTATTTTGCAAACATATTTTTGAAGATTTGATATTTCATTTTAAAATAGGCATTTGTGTGTTATTGTTTAAGTACTTTTAATCCAATCTAAACTTTAAACGCTACCCATACTCAATACCCAATAAAACGAAACTTAAAACCCAAAACGTGGTTTATCAGCAAGGGCGCATTGTCTCCATCTGACACTGAAATTTCATTTAAGATCTTATCATGACCGAATAATACTGACATCAAATCCCTTTTAAAACAACTTCTACTACCTACGAATATGCAAATGTCCAATATAATTAGAACAAATAATTTTTGAAGCAGGGGTGTGCGATAGACTTACCTCCACGTGGTGCACCCTGCTGGGTGTGCGATAGACTTACCTCCACGTGGTGCACCCTGGGAAACGTATACTCATACGGTAAAAAGTCTATTAACCGGAAGTTTGTGTGCGATAGACTTACCTCCACGTGGTGCACCCTGGGCAGCGTATTTTCTTACGGCAAAAAAGTCTATCACTCGGCTTTCGTTATATTCATACGGCAAAAAGTCTATTAACTGGCAGTTAACTCATACTCATACGTCAAGGAAAGTCTATTATTTGGCAGTTGACTTCTGACTTCAAACTACATGACCCCATGGTATGTCATATTCGACCCCTTCACAGCACACATCTTACCTATTCTCTGCCTTTGTATCTGTCTGTCTTCTTTAAATCTGTGAATCATTATTCTGCCCCCTCTCGCTTTTTGTCACTTTGATGTTTCTCCTTCTCTCTACGGAACCCGAAGTCAGCTAAAGGGCTAATGGCAACTATCAAAACGCCTGCCATTTGAAATAAATAAATAAATTTTTGATGCAACTTACTCTATCCGGATTGGACGGCTCCTGAGGTGATTCAGAAGGCTTCATGGCATTTGAGTATCTTGCCGTGAAACTGTTATTGACCAGTTTTTCCGCAGATATTTCACCTGAAGGTTTAGAAGCAAGTTCTGCAGTAGTGGGCAACAAAGTGGTTGTGGGTGGTGGGGTAGTTGTAGATGTGGTTGTAGTTGTGGTTGTCGTAGACGGTGTAGGTGGAGCTCGAAAAATTTCACAACGAGCACCCATTCGGGTTTGAGGACAGATACAGATTGGCATGGTTGTGGTGTCCAATGCACCCTCTTCATCTTGAGCTTTGTTGACGCATCGTCCACCGTTCAGACAGTAATTGGGCATTGATCCACATCGATCGTAAATACACGCTCCTGTCTCACTGTCTTTTATATAACCTGAAACGGTTCAAAATAGAAAAAAACAGATCTAAATATTTATGCTTTAAGACAAAGGCGAATTGGAGACTTGAGATATAGAGATCAACATAAATCGTTCAATTAAACCCCAATGAACTAAAAAATCCTAATTTACTTGGGAATTTTCATCAAATCGGTTTGTTTTACTCTCCAGCAGATGTACAGTATGCAACCTGTGTAAATCAGTTAAATATTAAGAGCTTAAATCATTTTCCCCCAACTCTATAGCTAATTTAATTACATTTTGAAATTTTATAAAAATGGCGGTTATTGTTTTAAAAATCGGCATTTATTTGTAAGGATAAGGAACTAAGACAAAATAGCATCTTATTGCGATTGGAAAAAATACATTTGCGTCCAATTTTGTTCGGTTACAATTGCTCCAAATTTCTTTAAATTGCTTCACTGTTTATTTAATAAAATTTTTCAAAGATTTTGGAACACAACATGTCTTCAATCAAATATAAACAAATGTAGGTTTGGTATTTTTAAATGCTACAAGAATTTTGCTTTTCTAAAAGGTTAAACTAGTGGATATAAGTTCATCTGCTTATTTAAATCTAAAGATTAATTGAATTAACTTCAAAAATATTCCTTAAAGTTGATTGCACAACCAGAGTTACAACTTATGTAAAGCAACATTTCTTAGAACCATGAATTACTCTTACAATAACCGCCATGTGCATTAATGAAACTGCAGTTTAACTAAACAAATCCACAAGGGGTTTTTCGCTGAGAAAAAAAAATCGATTTGTTATTTAGAATATGCATCTGCTTGGAGGTAAACGGTCGCAAACTTCGCCCGATTACTCCAGTAACATAAACACTTCTTTAGTGTACGTGTCGTTAAATTCTTAGCATAAACAATTTCGAGGTCTTGCAGGCTGAAAATTCGTGTGTGTACACGACCAACATAAGCGAACCATCAGCACAGGGCCCACTGGGTTTTATTTAACTCTCTAAATGAGAACACAATGCTAGGCGTAAACGATAAAGCGTCCATTTTGCTGAATAATTGGTCTTCCATGCAAACGCTTAGTTGTCATAAAACAGAATTGGTGAGTTGTTTGGCGGTGACATTAAAAAGCTTCTCTTTCATAATGGCAACTAGTTTTTTTTTTAATATCTCTACTACCAAAACTAGGCTCGTGTCGATTTTTACTGCTTGAAGTTGGTAAACACTCTGCTCAGACAACGTTGAAAGTTGTGATGAATGGGATGGAGCATTAGTCTAGGTAAAATGAGACGAAAGAATGATCAATTGCTGTGTGGAATTGTTGTTTGGGGAGGGAGCCAAATTGTGTAATAGTTTGACTTTAAATATATTCCGTAAGTAAAAAAAGGAACACAATTTTAAGGTGGACTTATTTGCTAGGTATTGGTAATGTTTCTAAACAGATGCAAATTATGACATACTTCTATATTATGCGTAGATGAGGTTCAATAGATACTTGGCTAAATGTTAAAACGGAGTGAGATATGGGATGTTAGTCGATTTCGCACCAATTACAATGGATCTTATTTGAAGTTTTAAAACATTAAATTTGTCCCTTAAAAGTGAGATTATTTTTAAGCACAAAAGTGGGCACCTGCTAGCTAATTGAAAGACTAAGACGCATTCGAGAAACCCAGTCTGTGCAATTTTCATCTTTAGATATCTACTTGAATAGGGTCATACACTAATCGCACATGCAGAAGAGGTCAAAAAAATATGTCTATAATTGACCCACAGTATAACAAAAAACTGGTACTTATAGTTGTGGAGCATAACGAAAGCGAATGCTTCATGGAAAGGCCTTGTTTCATTTGGTGTTTGTGCATCGGTTGCATAATATTCCCATGAAAATCAATTTACGTATTTACTTTAACCGTCACGAATAGTCACCTAAACGGCATTAAATGGTTGTCAACAACGTCCAGTCATTGAGCCAAAAATGACCAATTTTGAAAGTTGATTTCGATCTTCCATCTTCCTCACGCAATTCATCAGCTTACAGTTTTATTATTGCCGAGGAGAGGTAGGTTATAATTTTTAGCCTAACTGAGCTCTGAGAGCTGCAAATAAAGATTTAATTAATCAATTAATAAAGAACAGTGTGAGGATGAAAGACATTTTCCTATATTTTCCTGTCTTCTTTACTAAATGTCATCAAACTTGGCACTGGTAAATATCTAAATTGTCATTCCTGGCGAATACGTGCCAAATACACCAGAGTTCAACAAAAAGTTAGTATATGGGTAGATTAGGGGATATATAATAAGGTAAGACAACTAAAAAACTTTAAGTTCATTCACTGTGAACCGAGGTGTTGTGGTATGTATGTTCCGCCAAGACACAGAACCAGAATACCTCCCGTTTAACAAGGTTATCACTTCAAATACTTTCCCAAGTGGGTTCTGTAATGACTTAACTCTTTTTAAAGTTATAATTAACCTGATAAGATTAGGTACCATGCCTTAATATTTTAAATTTGATGTTGAATTTGGGGTGTACAATCGATTTACCTCCCTGTGATGCATCCTGGACAACGTATACTCATACGACAAAAAGTCTATAAACCGGCGGTTGACTTCTGACTTCAAACTAGCATGACCCCACTGTATGTCATATTCGACCACTTCTACGGTACTCACCCTACCCTTTTTCCCTACCTATGTGTCCGTCTCTTTCACATCTGTGATTCTCCCTTCTATTTCCCCACTCGAATTTTACGACTTTGATGTTTCTCCCTTCTGTAAAGCCCAAACGCAACTAAAGAACTAATGATAAATATCATAAAGCCTGTAATTTGTCACAAATAAATGTTCGAAATTTACGCTATTCAACTCTCTAGATCAGTTGCTCGTAATGAGTGACTTTTCAAAATATCTACTCTTTGCTATTTGAATTTAGCCAAAATAATTGTAAAATTATATGCCTTGAATATACTTTTAGGTACAGGTAAATTTAAAAAAAATCGAAGTTAGACTGGTTTTGTGCCATTAGATGTAATGATGAAATTTGCGAAAAAGAAAGAAAGAACTTAATATAAAATACCTTTAAATCCTTATTTTCAATAAAATTTTTGCTTAGCCTTAAAGTAATTTGCACTATGCCAGCATTGAAAATACGAATCGACAGTTTATATTGACACAAAGGAACTACAATTTGATTTTGGTTAATCTACTTATCAATCAAAAGACAGCTGCAATATCTACGACATTATCTAAGAAGATTTAACTAACACTTCTGATTTATGACTGAGAAATTGATATGCATTTGGTAGTTGATCGATAAGGGTTGGATCGATCATCAAGGATACGAGGTTTGGAATTAGCATTTTGGAAGTTGATGCAGTAAGTGAATATTCTAAAATCCCGAATCCAAAGATCTTAACTGAGTTTTATGCCTTATTCACTTATTACCGCGCAATTTGAAATTGAATTAGCATTTCGCATCTCTATAATAGCTGTAATATAGTAAAAACAGAAAAAATGGGTGCATTAAAGACCATGATATAATTGATGCCTATTGTTATAAATGGTACTTAATTAAAAAATTAAACACCAAAATAGAAAGTAAGCAAAAACATTGGCTGCAAACGCACCACAGCGCACGTGAGTCTACTCCAACTAATTTTCAAGGTTATTCAATTTTAAGTAGCCACTCTAGTTATCTTTAACGGGAAATTTAACTGAGAGGACACTAACGAAAGACTACGTAATCTTTACTTGCCATTACAGGGAAACATATAGTTTGGCAAGCAGTAAAAATCTTTCTTCTTGAAAAAAAATTCGAAGATAAATCCCAATAAAGTGAGATTAGTAACTTAGTCGAATAGAAAAAACGTCACACACACACACACACACACACACACACACACACGCACACACACACACACACATAAGCTCGCTGTTAGAGAGATGAAAGGGGGAGGGTTGGGATGAATATTTACATTGCCCAATTTCAAACCTCCCTTCCTTTGAGCACGGCTCCAGCAACACGCAACCCTGTCATTCGACTATCTTTCTTCGTCTTATTTCACCTTCTCGTTTGAATACACACTCGTTTTTTTCCCCTTTTTTTGAAGCAGTACAGGACAAATGCATGTCTTAACATAAATCTTCTGTCTGTGAAAAAAATATGCGAAGAATCCAAACAAAGGAATGGGAAAATTTTGGGCGATAATGCGCCTATAATGTGATTGGAGTCCTAACACAAGTATTTGGTTATGCCTAAGCTATTTCAATTTCCAGCAAGATTGTCAACCATTGTCACTTCGAAACGATTTGATCGAATACTCGTTAATCTCGTTTGAATAAGCGTGCTTTTAATAACAGAACTGACCGGGGTTGCAGATCTTTTCTCCGTTTATACTACACCGATATTCCTTGGCTTCGGAGGAGCAGAAGACCTCGCAAAAATCACCGAAGTAGTCAGCTACACAGGTATAGGCAAATTGGAATTGTAAAATTCTAGAATGAAAAAGAAAACCTATGTTAAATATCCCAAGGGGAAGGCTTGCTCTGATGTGTTGGGGGGGGGGGGGATTGCGTAACTATTATCCAAATAAGCCCAAACTCTTTTCGTATTTTTATTTGACAAAAAAATTAATCAACTGACAAGCAGAGAGACGAATTCAGATTACTATAACTTTATTAGAATTTATTCATAGACTTACCTTCACGTGGTACACCCTGGGCAACGTATACTCATACGGCAAAAGAGTCTATTAACTGGCAGTTGACTTCTCATTTCAAACTACCATCACCCGATTGTATATCACATTCTACCACTTCCACAGTATTACCCTTACTCTACTCTCTAAATTTGTCTGTGAATTACTCCTCTGTTCCCCCTCTCGACTTTGATGTTGGTCTCCTCTGTGAATCCCGAGGTCAACTTAGGGGCTAATGATGACCATCATAAAGCCTGCCATTTGATACAAAGAAATAACCTAATTAGAATTAAAATTTATGGAAATGGTCTTCTATTTTACCATTTAGCTCTCTAACTTACTTTCAGGCCATAAGGTTATTGACGACAAGCGTGCTAAACAGTAACTACTTTTGAGCAAAATATCTTCGTAAATTTGTTATGTTGAGATAGATCTGTCAAAAATCCAGAAATAAGCAATATATGCGTGTCCCAAATATTGTTTGCTAATGAAAACTTATTGATTGGCTTATTGGTCAAATAGTGATTATTTATGATCCCCAAATTGGAAAAGCACTGATTTTCTCATTTAATATGCAGGAGTGTTTAATAAAATCAAATCGTGCTCGCGATGAATGCCACATTTCCCAGAATTCACAGCGCTGACTGCGCATAAATTACTACAAAGATTATAAATGACGTTGATCTTCAATTATGCAAATGAAAAGTGGAAGCGGTTGAGGGGATTAAATCAATCGATTTAATTCTTTACTGTTAAGTGAAAAAAAATTAAATAATTTTAAAGCGCATGAGTCAGAGGGCAAGTGGCTAAGAGTACTTTAATTGGGGGGGGGGGGGGGGGGGGGGGGGGGGGGGGGGGGGGGGGNGGGGAGTGGGGCTGGATGGGGGGGCGGGGTGCCTGGTGGAGGGAAGAGACAACAATTCTCCAAAGATTTTTTTATTTCCTACCTTGATATTCAAATAATGCAAACGGAGGAAGGACTTTTCGTGCAAATTTTTATTCCCTGTAATTTGAGCTACTGGCTACAGCGAAAAATTTACGCCGTGAATTCATTTATTTTTAATTCGATAGCGACCTAGTGTTGTTGAAGTCATTGGGCGTAAAATTTTAAGACATTGCGAAATTATTTAGTGAAAACGCCAATAAAATGCATTTTATCTTCTCATATATTTTTGTTTGTAAAGAAGGAATAAACGGGGCAATTTTTAAACTAAAAAATACCCTCGGTTAAAGAAAGGCAAAGCACTTCAAATATGAGTTAAGGTATAAAAAACAATATGAAATCCAGAGCTCTTTGTCCACTTCAAAGTCCATATGTTCACTTATTTCAACGACTATACCACAAGTTCTTGATGAAAGTATTTTAAAGAAACGGTTCCGCCAAATTATCTATTGGTTTGACTACAATTTTGTGCTCTCCGTTATTTAATGAAATTATTCTTAGTAACGCTCAGTTACTGATAAGTTTCAATCAGATAATCTGAGTAACTACTTAATTTAATCAACCGTGTAAGAGGCACCAAATGTCATAATTCCAAATCCTTTGAGTTAAAAAATTAATACAATCTAACTGTTTACGCAGTAGTTGCAATTTGTAATTTATAATAGTGATTTGACAAAGTAACACATTTCAGTGAAGACTTGTGAATGCTTCTCTTTATCGTTCAAGGTTAAGTGGAAATCAATGTGGTCGGAGTATCGATTGCAAAATGTAGGGTCATTGAAACTGATTAGGAATAATTCATCTACACATGCATCCCAAAGGATATACAAGTGAAACAAATTTTAATTTACAGGCGTTGCAATCGCGTGTCAACGAACTTTTCACTTAGTTTTCTACTATAGGTCACTTCAACCTATTCAACCTCTTTGTTTCTGCTGTATGCTTTTAAAATACCATTTTGGGCTCAAGAATAATCAATCTCTCTATCTCTACTAAAAGGGCATTTTGCACAAAAAATGAAATCATATGACCAGAGCTTAAATAATTACAAGTTCATATTGACTTATAGAGGAAAATGATAGTATTTTAGTAGTGAGTACGAAGTCAGTGACAAATAAAATGGAGCGATAACTGAACTACTTTAAGGCACTCTGTCTACTGATGATTAGAAAGCTAATGAAGAATAAAAAATAGTTAAAATATTAATAAATGCTTATGCAATACCTTTTGGGGGGGGGGGGGTTGAAGGGGGTATTAACAACGATGTTGTGAATAATTTTGTTTTAATTCGGTAGATAAGAAAAGACAATGGTTTCAATTAAAATAGCCAGAGGCAAACTGAAACATGAAGAGCCCTATTTTTCTAAAAGTTATTCCCAAATGCTAAAGCAGATTATTAAGGCAAATTGCGTAATATTCCTGATTTACAGTGCCCATCAAATAAACGATGCAAACGACATCGTTCATTTACGTGAATACATTTCTAAAAGCAATAATTTATTATTTACTCAATGTAATAACAAATTAATGGAGACTTGTTATAACCCTCGACTAGGCAAAAGAAAATGAGCATTTTTATTTCATAAGAAAGCAAATAGAAAATGAAAGAATCATTAATGATTGCGTACTATTTGGGATAATTTTACTGGAAACACAAATTGGCAAGATACTTCGCTGCAAGAAATATTGACTCAAATCACCAGTTGCATTTAAAATATGCTAAGATCACGAGAACTTTAGTCATTATTTCTATTGAACGAGCTCAGACCAAACTCCAATTTCGACTATAATGTGGTAAATTTTAATCAACTATTCGTGTCTACTTTTTGGTGCTTCATTCAAGATATGATCGTATTTGAGCATAGTTTGGCGAAACAAAAAACGTGAACAAAAGGTGATTTGTGTGTATGAGGAGCGAGAGATTTGACAAAAAAGGAGAGAGCAAATCGCAAAAGAAGGGAAAACAACTTACATTTTAAGATTTTTAGTTTTCGCATCAATTGGCCGGGGAAAAGTAAGGTTTGCTGTCACCGGTTGCAACTGAAACTCCTTGTCTCCGTTTGTTTCCCTAATTGTGGCGTCCACCCTTAGTGGTTCTTCCTACAAATCGAGAAGGCAGGGAAAAACACTGCGAGAGAGAGAGAGAGGGTAAAAGAAGAAGGTAATCATTACTCAAGTCGTTTCAATTTCCCACTCAAATTGCTCTCTCTCTCCCCCTCCCTCTCTTTGCTTTCTGGTACTCGGTACACTTTTTGTTCGGCCGAAAACTCAATTCTAATGCAAATTTTTTTTAGAAACAATTGTTTGAAGAGTTATTATTTATCTATCTACTGAACACTCATTTATATTTGATTTAAAAGGCTCTTGTTTAAGTGGAAAACTATATATATTCAATACCCCTTTGACTTAATGTTCTTTGTTTAGAGATAAGAGGGACAAAATGCTGTACATGCAACTTAAACAAAAGCCATTGATCTTTTAGGATTAAATAATGATCCACATTTGCTGTAACAGGCTATTTCAGAGTCTAACATTTCAAAAATACGCAGGACTAAAGGATAACTGAAAGGTATTTGTTCCAGACTTTGTCACCAGACTTTCATAACCCCTTCATTCTAAGCCACAATTCACCACATTGATTTCCTCTATTTTTTTCCAAGGTAAGCAGTATCGTTTTGAAACTCATCCTTCCGATTTTGACATCAGGAAAAGATAAGAGCGTTGTGGTGACTATTTTAACCAAAATAAAAATAAAACACCAGCCTGTTGGCAGTCCCCGAATTTGGCAGAAAAGAATTCATTCATAACTCAAGGAAGTGAATTGTAAAATTTGGAAGCAAAATGACCTGCACGCATTCAAATTCAATTAAATAAGTACACTGAAACTATACTTGCAAAATTGATTGCATAAAAACCCTCCTCAAATCATTTCACATCGACATATTCCGATTAAATTCTGGAGGTACTTTCTTACCACACTATCAACTTCAAATTGAATGACTTCTTTTGGGCCATACGCTGCACAAGCTGCCTGGACGTAGAATAGGTGTGGTCCAAAAATTCGACATCTGAAATGAACGCAAAAAAGTGTATGATTTTGATAATTTTAATACTAGAAAGTGTTAACAAACGTGGACTTGCTTATCATGCTTGTGTCCAATACAGACTGTCACTTTATATGGAGATTCATCGCAATTTCGACTGCTATCATAAGTCAAACCCAGATGCATTGTGACATTTGCCCTGGCCTAAAATTTTTAAATATCTCCTCGATTATATATGGTAGAGGTCTGAAAATGATAATTTAATTAGCCATAACTGGTCAGGCAGTTAAAACAAAAGCAATGACCCATAGCGTCCTTGAAATTATGTTGAAATAAAACAAGGCGACAACAGCAATTTTTGTGTATACGTCAAAGTTAATGAAATATGCCATGCAACATGCAATATCCACTCACGGGTTAAGCGATAAACGCTAATAAATTAATCTAATTGACGCATAAAATGTGTCCTCCTCTTTGGGTCGGGAATAATACAATTTTATGGGGATCATTTCTGATACGAATCTCTCGCTCCAAGCTCCCTTCAATTTGAACCACCTCAATGGCTAGAGTTAAGGGGTGATTATGCGTGAGTCACTGGAAATGGGATATCAACTTGGGCACACGTGAAGAAGATACTGAGTTGAGGGCAATTTTTTCGAATCAATGAATCATATGACTTGGGCTTTCCCACGCGTGAACACACAGGACAAATGTCGTTTTTTTAACAAAGGCCAACTATAGTATCTCCGGTTTCAATCATATTATAACCGTAGAGATTGATTTCAGATATTAGTCAGTGGGTTGAATTGAAAAGCTGTCTATAAAATTTCAGTGTTGCTGCACGGAAGTTATTATATTATAGGGAGTAATTAAAGAACCAATTTTCTACTGAAACGAGGAATTTTAAAATGAGATTCAGATTCTAGCATTTTCAAATATTTTGTGTTTAAAAAAGAAATAAAATTTCTAAATTTTAATACAGCTGACATCATTGTTTGATTTCCTAAATTTCATTTGTCTGGACAATATGTGCCTTAAATTAAAATCCATTATCTCATAGCACTTTGTCAATATAGTTCTGGTAAGGAAAATGAAAAAAATGACATTTTTATCCAAACATCCAAATAAATAAATAATTGATAAGATTAGGGCATAAATTCAGTTGATAAGCCACAGAATATATCTCTAAATTGCAGAATCTTGAAATGAAGCCAATTGAGCAAATTGGGTTCAATTTAGAGTCAAAATCGAAGAAGACTCTTACGAAAGATTAGCATTATTCCTGAATTTCGCATCTATTTTTGCCCCATTCCCTTTTGTTGCATTCAGATAATTCGATTCGATTACGAAGTAATGATACTTGGTTCATTTGGAGTATAAATTTGTGCTAAAGGCAACTAATATCGAAAAATATCATGATTTCCAACAGCCAAATCATCACAGTTCCGTAAGAAACCTCGATATAGGCATTCAAAAATAATTAAAAATATTGGGGACAATTGATTTTGGCACCTAACTCTATGCCAGAGAAATGAAATTCTTTCAACTACTATTGTGCAATAATTTTAATAATAATATTCATAAATTTAGTCACAACTTCGGTATTTGTAATTATGCCGATGCACATCAAATTTATCCAGTTGTCAAAGTGATTGCCTTATTATTAACTACCGCATTAAACTTTACTCATTCATTCACAAAACTCTTAATTCTCTCACTATTTATCAGGTGACAATGTAATAGCTTCATTAAAACGCAAAGGAGGCACTTTCGAATTCACTTTGAGCATTTTATGAGCTTAGGAATGATTGCCGTGGTCCATCCTTAATATTATTTCACCACAGAGTTAATTTATAGGTAGAGATGAGAGCTCCTGATAGCACTTACTCGTTTGTGATGGTGGTGAGTAGATAACCTCATCAAAACGTGTGTGTGATAGCCTAAATGAAAATTTATATACTCCCCAAGGTTAAGTCGATCAATACTAATTAAATGACAGCAGTATTTTGAGCTTCTTCAAGCAGTCAAAATTTCCATTCGGGGGTTCTCAAACCCTGCCCTTGGGATAGTCATTTCCTTATTGAAGGAGGACGATTCATGTGTGTTTTTGGGAAAAAACTTTTCTGAATAAGGATTCATCTGAAAGAGGTATCGCGTTTTCCTTAGCGCCTTCGACTCGAATCCAATTCACTGACAACAATTAACGTCAAATTTAATATATTTATGATTAGCGTACGTCATATGTGAAAGTTGCTGAAGTTGGGAATATACAAAGGGTTTTTCTGTTCCCATCAAGCAAATGAATCGAAGTGATAGGATCAAATCAGTCAACAAAATTAACCCTGAGTAACGAGGCTATTGTTTCCAAAATATTATAAATCGATCTGCACGCCTCATAAGAAAGTAGATGATACAGTGGACACAATGAACTTCATTTTGGTTAATCGTGTCATCTCTAATTTGAAAATGTCTCCAATTCGTATGCTCATACTTAGATTGATTTAAATTTGTAATTCCGATAGAAAAGTTTCGTTTAACAGCGCAAAAAATCGATATAACTCATTATTAAGCGGTGATATAAAAATGAAAAGTTGCTAAAAGATTTGTCAAAATCTTCAATATGTGATTTTCTTTTGGCGTTATATTGAAAAAATGGTCAAAACGACGAAGATTTTCATAAATTTCAAATAAATATTTGCAAAATTCTATGTGTACAAAGACGGACCAAACGTGGGTTTATAGAGGTTTAGATATAGTTTCTTAAATAGGAAGACAATAGCTTTTAAAAATGGCCATAGGTCAAACACGGCGCGTTAGAATTACCATCAAACATTTGTTGAAAAGAGTATAAATACAAATTACGCATGACTTCGGTAAGACCATATTTATATAATTTAAGATTAAAATCACCTGGCATTGTTCAGCTGTCAGGAGAAGTAATGCAAGTTGGAAGATAATCCGAAATGGGGAATGAGTCATCATTCTAATGAAGAAGGTGGAACACCTGCATTATACTTTGGGGTGCACAGAAATGATGAAGCGATAAATATTTCTAATGGAACTGAATGTGTGGGTATTGTGAATGCATGCGTGTTCAGAGTCGAGCTCATTGCAATGCACACTATTAGAGATGGCCAGACTACGCGATTGGCCAGTTAGCAACGAATCAACGCGCGCTCCGCGTGCATCCGTTAGCGTAAATACGTGGTGCGCACGTGCTCTAGCTGCCTGTATCTGCTAATATAAACAAATACACGTTGTCGGGTTCATGGAATTCAAGGCATAGGCGTACAGGGACTGAAAGAATGATTAGGTCAATAGGTGGGTTACTTGAAGAGTAAACGTTTGCTATTTCGTGCGTGAGACAATACCATTGTCATCGACAAAGGATAAAGTGAATGTTTTTTAAGTATTTTGTTGAATGATGGATTTTAAGTTTGGTTTTCAGTATGGATAAAAATCTAGGCAGATTTAAAACTCCAATGTTTTTTCCATTTCGAAAATAATACGTCTTCTTTTTTCAAAATAACCTCCATCTTAAAATTAAATTTTTTAATGGCTCCTTCCAGGCTGCTTTAAGCTTTAGATTTGTTTACTATTTCTATCTTACTAGGCGATGGCTTTTTACAAGATTTTTCCAAGTATCTAAATATTTCAATCTTAGCATATAATATTGATTGCTTAAAATCTCCACAACTTCTGAAAGAAATTGCAAAGTATTGAATAACAGCGCACAAGGGGGTATAATTTAGAGTATTCATATCATATGGCAGGTGTTTTGATAGTTATCATTAGCCATTTAGTCGACCTCAGGCTTCACAGAGGAGAGGAACCTCAAAGTGAGAGAAAGTCGAAAGAGAGGAGCCGAAGAATGATTCACAGATATAAAAGAGACAGACACAGAGGAAGAGAGGAAAAGGTAAGGTGAGTACTGTAGAAGTGGTTGAATATGATATACAGTAGAGTCATGATAGTTTGATGTCAGAAGTTAATATACTTTTTTGCCATATGAGTATACATTGCCCAGGATGCACCACGTGAAGGTAAGTCTATAGCACACCCCATAATTTAGAATATAACCGACACTTTACCCACTGTTCCAACTTATTCGATAGGAAACAATGTGCTGGAGCTTCAACCATGGTAAAGTCGTGTATTTCACAAATCCCATACATTCATCGTTGAATTTTAATCACAAGACGTAATTTTGAAGGTTTTTTGCGTGATAATCTTGCATTCAACTTAATCAATTAATGCGAACAGTATCGCAAATACATGATCACACAATTTTGTCTTTATACATTTTTATTATCTCTTAATGGAAAAACGTGATGCAATGCTTCTATTGAACTGGCTGATTTGCATTTACATTTCATTTACCGCTTCATTTCATTCACGACACTTTCGTGATTTAAAACGCTATCACATGCATAAAACCAGCCGAACTATTTTCATTGCCAATTATAATGATATAATTATAATCAATGCCACATGTTTATTAGACTTAGTTTTAATGATATAAATCCTATTTTTAATAAGATATTTTTGTTTAAATAAATGATGTAGGCTTTTGAGATCATTCTGGCCAATTCGAGAAATGATAAAATTGATGAGCGTCTTTTTATCGCTGATTGCTGGGGAATAGAAATGGCGATAAAATCTTAGCATAATTTTTACGCATAAATGTAAAATAACAAAACCAGCAATAATTTGCTACTGATTTTCTTTATTTTTAATCAAATTCAATTTATTTGTGTAGTCGATTATTACTGAAGGCAATTAAAATGCGACCTATAAACGCACAAGGGTAGTTTTGATGATTAGTGGGAAGATCTATGTCAATTCATAAAATGTACTATTTGAAATTTATTAATTAGCATCTGACAACGGGTAATTTACTCCTTTAGAGTTGTCAATTGTTAAAATATCAATTTCCTTCGCGATTTGTCACTCAAGAAATCAATAGGCTTTTAACTAGTTTAGTAAATAGAACACTGATTAATGGCTACAGTTGCTTTTAGTAACTATGAAGCCGTCAAGAGGATACGGCCTAGCATATTGTTAGCACTAAATTTTATTTGAATAAAATTCGAATAAAAACTAATTTATTTTATGGAAAAATTTTCAACTTAAAAATAAGTCAAATAACTCCACATAAGCAAATTTGGAAATAATTTAAAGAATTTTTTTCAAGTTACAACAAAGGCGACTGGTCGGAAATTTATACGCCATCTAAACAAAATGAAATGCTATAAGCAAACTTCGAGGTGCGTTGAGGCTATTCTATAACGCTATTGAGGGGTGTGCAATAGACTTACCTCCACGTGGTGCACCCTGGGCAACGTATACCCATACGGCAAAAAAGTCTATTAACCGGCAGTTGACTTCTGACTTCAAACTACCATAACCCCACTGGATTCCATATTCTACCACTTCCACAGTAATCATCCTACCTTTTCTCTGCCTTTGTGTCTGTCTCCTTTACAACTGTAAACCACTGTTCTGTTCCCCACCCCTCGACTTTCTGTTACTCTGATGTTCCTTCCCTCTCTGTAAAGCTCGAAGCCAGCTATATGGCTATCAAAACGCCTGTCATTTGAAATAAATAAATGAATAA